TGTGTTCCAAATGCACCATGTGTGCTCCAAAACCACAACGGCTTTCTAAGAGAACAGAGAGAGACTTGAAGAATAATGGCTAAGCCAGACACTGTGAGAAGAGCTAAAGAATGGAGAAGGTTTTTTTCATAATTGTCTTTGTTGTTGCCTATGATGTTTTCTCTTTGAGAACAAGCACATTGCCCTTTTAAACTTCTAGCACATGGCTTCTCTGGTTGAATAGAGTGTTATGTGCAAACCATGAGGCTGAATTCATGTTTGAAAGCGGTGCAGGTTCTGGGTTTGCTTTGGAGAGTTAGCAGATGTGATACACTCATGACAGAATGAGGTTACTGCAGGAGTGACTCATTGTTGAATAATCAAGTGTTTACTCCACCAAAACTGCATGTAACCAGACTGCCACAGTTTTTCTGCTTTATTCTAAGGTGTAGCTTTTAAATGTCAGTGCACCAGGAAGGAAGGTAAACTCCTTGGGTGGCTCACATCTCTTTTTATGCATGTGTTTAGAGGCAGAGAGTCTTACGGTTCTCAATGGAGTAGAAAAACTACGGAGCACATCAATTGAGACATACATTAATCAATTGAGGAAGGAAAATTAACTGAAGAGGAAAACTGAATCCTTTCCTGAAGTGTTTCTGAAGTAGACCAGATGGAGAAAGAACAACTGGTGTGAGGTTCTGGTTTGGTTGTTTCATACACCCCAATCCAGTGTCCCCCCTGACAATAATGTTACTGTTTGAGAAACCTCCAGCCTCATTTCTCTAGCTGCAGTTAATTTTTTTCAATCTACTTTCTTCTGCCTTTTAATTTTGCTTTTAAAGAAGCTAATTTGAGGGTGCTTGTGCTTTCTCTGGCTCTGAAGTTTCTTGCCTAGCAAATCAGGTGAGGAAGAACTGGCTGGAAGAGCATCCCAGTCTTCTGACGAGACAGAGGGCCCAAAGGTTATGATCTGTTACAGGTCTAAAGTTCAGGTCAGGATGCAAAGCCAGACCAAAGAGACTTTGAGGCCTTTTTCTAATACTCACTGTGTACACTGGGAGGCTGCAGGTTCAGCTCACTTCCCTGTTTAAAGGGCAGGAGAAGCAGGGCTGAGATGGAAATCCTGGATCACACCCAAGTGCTCCCTAGGTTATTGGTGAAGGTCTCCCACTAACATGCACTCAAGGTGCTCTCTTAAAAACCAAATAATAGATCATGCATATTCCCTCTGTGTGGATAATCTCCCATGGAACAGAGAAAATTCACTATGAAAATTCATGGAAGAGTCGAGCTTGATCTTCTAAAAGTTCCTGAAGTTTAACTCTGCCATGGTGGATGCCCTTCTGAGAAGCAGGCATCACATTTTGCAGGTATGCTCTACTACCAATGTCAAGAATTTGCTCTTAAGGGCTAAAATCCTTGATATTCAGACAAGAAGTAGTCTGCTCATAAAATGAAAGTTGGGTCCCTGTCAGAGGAGCAGTGACAGAAACAGTAGAATTTTAAAAGGTCTTGCTACTCAGACAAAAGCACAGCAGATTGAGGCTGTTGTAATTCATTCCTTGCACAGTCAATAGTGTCCTGCTCTTCCATCACTGAGTGTTTAAGTCATTGCAGATCACGATATAAAAAGGAAAAACCCAAATATTTTACTTGTCTAAACTGTTCCTGGGGCTAACCTCATGTGGATTCCAACTGAATGGAAGTGCCAGCTTTAGAAATCCAACTGACTACATTTCTAACTCACCCCTTGTCTTACATGCCCTGGGTTCAGAATCCTTGTCAGATTCTCCCATCCTTCTTCTAGGAGCATTGGATTAGGTTTGACTCTGTTGGATTGACTGTGCTGTTATGGAATGATGTAAAGATCAGGTCAAGCACCTCCTTAGGGTTTCCACACTAAGTTTTCCTGCCAAGTTCTGTGCAATGCTGTTTTGGGGTTTAAAGCCACATCTGGGAGCTGAATTGGAGAGAAGGTGCAATGCCTGAGCAGGACCTCAGTAACCTGTTGGTAGTGGGTGCAAGCAACACTTGTCCAAGCTCAGGAGCTGCTGCAGGATCATTGAGAAGATCCTTGAGAAGCCAAGCAGCAGCACAGACAGGCATGGAGCAGCTGTTAACCCCTTGCTTTCCGCTGTGCTGTCTGTGAAGGGCATCTCCTGCTGTACAGCCTCTGGCATGTACAGCTGGGCTCCGGAAAGCAGGGGAGGAGCTTCTTGTGAGGATGGAATAGGCAGGTCTTAAACAGTATCTGATTCTGGATAAAGCTATCAGAAGCATTGCTTGCAGCCAGGAGAGGCTGCAGTTTGGTCCCCAAGGCAGCAGTCAGAAAGCAATGGCCTAGGAGTGCCCTGAGGGTTTGCTAGGGAGTCACTAAACAGGGGCCCTCTTGTGATGCTTTACCAGCCCAGGAGCTGAGGCAGCAGTCAGTGGTGCAGAGCAGGAGCTGAAATTCTCATCAGTGGTGACTGAACAAGAATGACTTAACCTTGCCATGGAAAACTTACAGGCAGGCAGTCGTAACTGCACGGGCATTTAAAATGTAGGAGCAGCGAGTGGAAAACAATCAATCCTGGCTTCAACACAAATCAGATCTCCAGCTGTGTTTGTATAGATTGTGCTCTGCACCAGCCTGCACATATGTGATGCTCTTGCACAATCTATGACCCTGAACAGTCCTGTGTTACCATATTCTGTGCCACAGTAGCTCTGGGTCTGTGCATCGGGGAAAGACACACTTGTTGATGCTTCCTGAATTAGCAAGGTTACACAGTTTATCTCACCAATGACAACCTACCACCACAGCACAAGTAGTAGCAAACATTGAGCATTCACGAGCACACCCTGGGCAAACAGCTTTGGAAAGTTAAACACATTAATTTACCGTATTTCATTACCACACAGAAGGAAACAGTGTCTTCACAAACATTCTACAGCCCACTTGAAGGCAGGTTTCTTGACTCTTCCTTGCAAATTCTCACTTATATTTAGCAGGCATCCCCCCCATTAGTTACAGTTTTGAGAGAGAATGGGTCCACATTCCACAAAGAGCAGTTTCTATTCTCCACTCGCACCTGAAGGTATTATTTGGTTATTAACTTGCTGGAACTACATTAGCTGGGAGGATGCAAGCTTTGCACCCTTGTAGCACTTCCACTGCAGTTTCATTTGGGAGCTTTGTGTATTTGTAGCTAGAGGATTCAAACTCTTTCATGTGTGTTTGCAGTCCTGTCAGCTGAGCACCAGTTCAGCCTCCCAGAGGAGAAGGAACATCTGCATTAAGGCTCAGTGTCAGCATTTCACCTTCCTGAAATTGCACCACCTCCAGCAAAAGCTATCTCCATCTCGTGAGGCTGCTCAGTAGAGAAGCCCTTTGGGGACACCACGCCCAACACAGCTGTGGGTGGCAGGGTCCCACTTTCAGGAGAGAATTCCTTCATATCAGCTGTCCAGTTATCTTAGCAGTTTAAATGGCTCCTGGAGTTGGATGGCTCATTCCTCTACCAGTGCAAGCTCATTTTTACACAGCCCTCAGTTGTGCCCCCTCCCAGAGTCAGGCCTTTCATCGCTGCTACGATTTTTGTCCAGCCCATGAGGGCTGAAATGAAAATGAAAAAAAACATTTCAGAATTGTTTGTGTTGTCACCTGAAGTGATCAGGGCATACCAGGGAATCCACTATCACATTAGTAACTTTGAATATTCAGCTTCATTAAGACTGGGGCCACTGATGACTTAATGATATGAAGCAGGACATGTGACTATAAAGTGATATATACTTAGGGGAAAATGCAACTGGAACCTTTCAATCGATCATTACTTATTCTCTCTGCAAAATTCTACTTCTGCACAATTTATATACAGATTCACAGCAACAAACTGGACAGGCTCTCCATTTTTTTAATCTAAAACCATGTCAGGAGAGATACTCCACTGTGGGAATATTTACACTTCCATTATCACTGCTTCTATTCCCTAATTAAATTGTAGACAAAAAACCCCAACCCATCAAACTATTATTTTTTTTTAATTTCTATGAATCCTTCTTAGAAATTCTGAAGGAGTTATCCTAAAAAGACCCTTTTCTGAATTTCCTGGCTCAAAATTTGATTAATTAATTTTTAGTTTAGTTAAGGATGATTAAACTATTCACTGCTTTAAAAAAAACGAAACAAGAAATTCACAGGAGCATACAAGAACTTTCTCTAAAGCCACAACATATAATTTCTTTTAATTACATTAAATGTTAGCTTAAATTAATTTAGTATAATAGGTCTCTCAGCTGAGCACTTTACAAAGATGACAGTATAGTTTATGAACTATCCACATGCACAAATTAAAGTTTATAAATATCTTTATAAACCCTATTAACACCACTTTGGACAGTGTTTCTGTTCCTTCCTCTTCTCCAGGAAAGCTTTGCTGGGCCCTTTCTCAGCCTCTCCCCACTGTTCCCCCTACTTGTTCCTGGTTTTTGAGTGATCCTGGCAGTGGGGACCATTTCTGCAAACTGCTGCAGAGGCAGCTGGGCAGGCACAGACATCACCAGCGCTGCTCATGGCCTTTAAACCAGGCTCTAATTATTGGGGTTGGCATTCAATAATGCCAATTCATGTTCATGAAACCTGACAAATGGTGCAGCAAGAGACTGTACCTGAGTCACTGGTGATGCTTGTGTTACCACTCCTGCATTTCACTTGGCTTTCCCAGGACTGTGCTAGCTGGTGTTTTTTGGCTCTCACAGATTTTTGTTGCTTTCATAGTGAGGCCATCTTGGTTGTTCAGAGCGCCATGAGGTGCTTTCCATAAGGACAAAAATAAAGTCCATAAAAAGATGATAAACCAGTCTCATTTATTTTCTGTGGACAGTGTTTTTAGTTTTGGATTCTGCACCTAATCTCAAAAAAGGCTGTGTTTGGTTGGTTAAATTGAAATATGATATCTTACATGAATATTTATAGGAATCATTTTCTTCAATGGGAGCAACAGATACATCTGACGATGGATTTTGCCATCCAACTTTAGGAGCTCAGTTGAGAATTTTGGTCCTGATGTTTGCTGCAACCTTAGGTTTGGGTCCAATCCACCTGCCAGTGTCCCTTTAAACAGGAGCTTCCCCACAGCTGCATTCTCTGATTCTGAGATGTTTTAAGATGCTTTTCATATACTACAGTTTCTGAAGGTCAGTGCGCACACATTTTAAGACACAGTGATTAGACAGTGTATGGAACTACTTGGCAGTATTTAGCTGGTACAGTTTCTTGTGGAAACAACAGAATTCCAAAATACACCACACTGAATGCTTATGGGTTATTACAAGCAAAAATCCCGAGAGGCCGGGAATTAAAAAGCGGAGTTCAACAAAGGAACACTGATACCGTCGGTTGATATGAACAAAGTTGTGCCAAGTCTTCCTTCTTTGCTCTTTCAAGTGGAGAAATAAACTGGGAAATGAAGCAGAAGGAAAGAAAGATTTAAAAAAAGACAAAACCCAAGAGTTATCACAGAGTTACTGCCGTGCTTTATCTCACAGAAGCGCGTGATGTCAGAGCATTGCAAACATCTTTAGCACATTTCAGCTGGAGGAGTGGGACGTGTCTGGCACAGAGTTCCTGTTAGCAGAGGTGGGGATGCTTCTCCTGTGACCAAAGGAATTTGGAGGGGAAACTGGAGCAGAGAGCAGAGAGACTGTGGCTCGAAAGGCAGCAAGGGCAAGGACTGGCAGAGATGGCAGCTGCTCGCCCCAGCAACACCTGCAAAGCCTCCAGCAGGCAGCTGGGGCCATTCCAGCCCCCATGGCAGCTTTTCTAATCTAAAACCATGTCAGGAGACTCCACTGTGGGAATATTTACACTTCCATTATCACTGCTTCTATTCCCTAATTAAATTGCAGACAAAAAAAAAAAACCCAACCCATCAAACTATTATTTTTTTTTTAATTTCTATGAATTCTTCTTAGAAATTTTGAAGGAGTTAGCTAGTGAGTTGGTGAAAAGTGGCTCAGTTTGCTGCATCCACCCCTTGTTGAGGGGATGATCTTGTTCCCACTCAGATCACAGACTGGAAAAGACATGCAGGCCTTGTCTAACAGCATCTGGATGCTTGGTGTCTGTAGGATTTAAATATTTACTTGATAGCTACGGTAAATAAATACAGCAGTGAGTTAGATACACAAGATCTTTCCTGAAGCTGCAGCCTTTAGGCACTTATCACACAAGAATCAAATAGACTGGAAAAATAGTTTGAACAGCAGGTACACTCAAATCTCAACAGGTCCACTCAAACCTCTCTGACCTGCTACTCAATCTCACTATGGTGAGCCTGGGATGAACAATGTGACACTCGAGTTTGTGATTAAATACCCTAAACTCAGCCTAGCTCATGTCAAACCTGCACTGGTTTGTTTGGTTTGTTTTGTTTTTGTGGGGTTTTTTTTTGTGGTTTTGTTTGTTTGGTTGTTGTTGTTTTCTTGGTTATTGGTTTGGGGTTTTTTTAACTTACAACATTTTAAACCAAAAGCAAAACAATGTTCTTACTTATAAATGTTTCAGCCTAGACCTCTATGGAGGAGACAGGAGCTATCCTGGCCACTTTTTACTTTCTTGTTAAGACTCACACCATGCTCACTGAGGAATACATACCCAGCAGTCAGCTCAGTGGCTGCACATCTTTTGTCTGGTTGCTGCACCAGGCTGCAGAACAAGGGCTGGTCTTTCTCTTGAAGCCAGTTTCTTTGAGCTCCCAGTTAATATAGTTAATTAATATCTAACCACTTCCCACTCTTGCTGTATCAGTGTTACGAAACCTGGAATTATTCTGGGTCACTCTGGTGCCAGCATTCATAAGGCTAATAAACTGTCACATGTATCTCATTCCATTTAGTCATGTTTACAGGTGATCCTGTAAGCTTTCTTTACAGGAGCAACAGAGGAAAATGGAAACATGCTGAATACCAGGCATGTAACTCGAGAGCTGGGAATTAACTCACAGCCACAGTCTGGCCTTCTGCTGAGTCTCTTCTGGGTTACTACCTGCATTGTGTATCTGAAGAAATCTCCCTTTTAGGAGTCAATGCCATATTACAGTTATGTCACCTAGCAGCTGCTGCTAACAGAGGGTTACATAAATGAAATGTTCAGTTCCTGTCATTACGAGGTCCCTGAGTCCCCAGCAGCACGACTGCTATTATTCATTCATTGCCAACTTCCCTACAACTGCGTGGAATGAGATGAGAAAGGAAATCAGTGAGACTTTAGGCCGTCTTTTAACAACGTTTGGGCATTGGAGGTGCAAAAGGATCTTCAGAAACACTGACATCTCAAATTCTAGCTGGCATGGTAGAAACCAGCACCTACACACTTTTAAAAAATTCATCAGATGCCTGTTTGCCTGTGTGCCTTCCCCCTCTTTTTATGGGCATGAGGTGTTTCAGGAATTACTGCTCTTAGTAGAAAACACCAGGACTGTGGCACTCATCGTAACGAAAGGAAGATCTCTGAGACTGCATAAAAATTTATTTAAAATGTAAAAAGGGAGAGCTTTTAATCCTAGGGAAAGTTATGTAACGTGCTAATGTAAAAAACATTAAATGTCAACAAATTCTGCCGATGTGTCCAGGGAGTTTGCAGTAATTCTCACTATAAAGGCACAACACTAGAAGGGAAATTTCACAAATTAATCGGTTTAAATATTTTATATCCATTTTTTTGTTGCTTTGGTTTTTAATGTATTAGCCATTCTTAAGTCACAAGCTACTGAGATCATAAATAAAAGAGAAAATGAATTACTCACTTATAATTATAATGAGAATGACTGCGCATACTACACCAAGGATGATCATCATCTATAAAAAGAAAGTTATAAGAAAGACAAAGTCAGATTTTCACATGAAAGACATTAACCCCTCAATTTTTTTGCTTTTGCTTATTGACTCATTCCTCATACTTTTAACTCTTGTAAAGACCTACTGCAACAGACTTGCTAAGGCCCCAGATTTACTGTCAGTTTTAAAATCAACAATGGAAGCAGCTTCTTGTCAAAGCTGGCCAGTTCTTGCCTGTGAGCTAAAGATGAAGTGAGCAACCTCAACCATCCCCAGCAGTAGAGAAAACCTCAATTTCCAGAGTAAAACAGCTCCAGTGGCTGGGTTCCCAGCACACAGCACATTATACCAGAGTCACCTCATCCCTTTCCCTGCGTTCCTGGGGTCGGTGGAGAGGCAGCTGGAGGAGTCTGAAGCCCAGCAGCAGGTGGAGAGAGGAAGCCCAGGGCATCCAGAGCAGTTCCCAGCACGTTCTCCTGGACACAGCTGCCCCAGGAGCAGGAGCAGCAGAGACAGCTGTGCACACACCAGCACTGGGCTGGCTCAGGGATCCCACCTGAGGCTCACTGAGAGCTATGGAGCCCTCCAGGGATGCTGCAGCCCTGCTGCCATCATCACCCCAGTGAGCAGAAAGACTGAAAAACAACAAACACGGGCGTGGTTCCTCCTAACATGAGGACAGAGCCAGCCATCGGCTTGAAGGAGGTTTTTTTTATATATTTTTTTTTAATTTCTTCCCTCTCTTTGCAGAATTTGGGAGCCAGAGGAAGGACAGGGAGATTGTTTGTCAGGATAAAGCAGGAAGGGATGATGAGGAAAGGAGAATGAGGGTAGGTTTGAAGGTCTGGTGTAGTTCAGTCACATGGGTGAACCTGTCTCAAAATCTGTGTAGCTCCCAAAAGCCCAGAGGACCTGCTCAGTTGAATTTCTAACCTAGATCCTTTTATTCCTGGAGTGTTTTAAAGTATAGTTTACCCAGAATATTTTGTATTACTTTACATTTTGTAGCGCTGTGATTGAAGAGATAAAGCAGACAACAGGCTAGCGAGGGATACACGTGGGATTCCCCCTTGGGAACGGGTGGTTTTGTTTGACTGGACATAAGTGGTCAGCAGGAAAGTTGCTATTGAGAAATGGAAATGAAGCAGAACTTTTGGCACAGTGTTCATGTTGGTGGTGCACGAGTAGGAAGAAGCAAAGATGTGAGTCTTAGAAGAGTAAGAGGAGATGAAGTTTCTGGGTCCAGAATCCACAAATACTGGAGAAGGTCTGAAAAAACAGAGTGAGATTTCCTCTGCTCTTGGGAAAGGATTAGACAGCAGAGAAGGCAGCTGGTTGATGGAAGTCCTGCTCTATCCTAACCAGCCCACTCTTTATAAATTTCCTCCCTTCTCACAGCAGTTTGTGGGACCCAGTTTCGGGTATTTTTTATGGTTTACCATCCTGAAGGAAAATCAAATCAAATCAATGATCCCCACAAGGAAAAATCTTCTTTTCTCTCACTCATAGAATTCGCTGCACCTGATCAGGTTTTGTGGTTCACACAGAATTGCCATGGAATTCTTTCCCATGCCTATTTGAAGCACCAAAAGCTGTATCTACATTTTATGGGAAATTATGATTTCTAGTAAAGACCAAAGTTGCTTGCTTGACTTCTGGAGCCTCGAGGTCAAGGCACCTCTTTCTCACCTTGACTGGAAGAGATGACTCAGAGGTGCAATCCTACAGGCAAAGTTCCACTAATTGCAAGTGAGGGCAATTCCTGCCACGAAGCCATTCCCAGCAGGGATTTCTATTCCTTACCTTGCAATTTTTCCACCAGTATTTCCTCTTCAGTTTGGCTGCACTGGTCTCAAACTGCGAGGCTCCCGCTTGCAACGCGTCCGCCCGGTTGTCGAGCTCCGACAGCTTCTGGTCCCTTTCCAGCACCTTGTCCACGTTCATCCTCATGATGTCGACCACCTGTGGGGGCACAGACACACGTGGCACTCCTCCCACAGGAGGGACACCCAGCTGTTCACAGCCTGCAGTGCCACAGCTCACCCTAAAGCCAGCCTTTGTGGTGTGTGACGGCATTTCCCTGGGCAGTGCCCCAAAATCCCAGCCTGGGGGAACAGCACTCCGTGAGCTACACTGTGTGGGTGCCCTTTGAGGTAGGAAATGAAGGGACATCATGAAATGCCACATTCACTAAAGTATTTGATTTCTTTTATACAGATACAAAAACCTGAAGAAGATCTCTGCGCCACAATTTGACATTGCTATGAGCAAGCCATTATTTTCCTTCTACATTGAATACCTTCCTTACCTGAAGCAGAGAAACCAGACAAAGGCCACTCTAAAGGGAAACTTTATATAACTTTTTATATATGTTTATATATAAAACAATCTTCTCATTCTGCAGATCTGGGCAAGATGACTTCTCAGCTATAATTTGAAGTCTTGCTTGAAGCTTGCTTTTACTGGAGCAGATTCAGCCCAAGGGGTGGCAGAGAGCTCACGCCACCTTTATTGCACAGCCAGCACACAGCAGGCAAGGGCTGCTCCTGCATGGATTTTATACATTGGGTAAGGTGAAAATCCTCTTCTAGCAAGCCAATAACTAAATGGGAACCCTGTAGAAATTCACCACGAATGGCAGACAGTGTCACAATCTCAGTTAAGCTGTGTCCAATTTTTCTAGCAGTGAATGAGGCTGGTTGCCTGTTAATTCTCATGCTCTATAACAAGAAATTCCACGTTATAAACATTTAATAAAATTTAACTATTACCTGCAAAAATCCACAGTTATTTAAAGGATGCATTATTGAAATACAGTGAGATGAAATTGGTAGTGAAAGAATCTTTAACAACTGGTCACAAAATATTTGTTTCACTTGTCTACCAAACCAAAACCAAAATGAAATCAATCCAAATTTTCTAACTTGCTTTTCCAACCCAAAACCTTCCAAGCACTTAACTTCATATAAACAATAATAAGTTCTTTTAAGTATTAATCTCTCAGCTAGTATTTAAAGTTGAATTTTACCTTGGTACAATGATTTGTAGTGAAAATTTTAAATTATTTGAAAATGCTGAAATAAAATACTATTTCCTATCCATTCTCTTAGTTTTTTGGGATTTTGTTTTTTGTTGTTTTGGTTTTTCGTTGTTGTTTTGTTTTGAGTGTTTGTTTGTTTGTTTCCCCAGCACTACCTATCGAATCTAGCCCAGCTGCAGTGAACATTTGTCCAGGTGAGATTTCATTTTCCTCAAATAAATAAATGTTTGCCCGGGCCTTAAAAAAATAAGCTCTACGATGTGTAGAGGAATGGGGTGGGAAAACCCAAGAGATGAATAGCTGAAATACTCTGCGGGCATTGGTGTAGCATTAAAAATATCGGTGATTTCGTGCAGCCCCAAAGTTTCCTGCTCTGCCCGGGGCTCTGCTGCCACCTGCGGGAGACCAACAGGGAAAGAAAAGAGCTGGGAAAGATCGGGGAGAAAGGGCAAAGCAATTTAACTTATCTATTTAATCTTATTAGTTTGTATTTATATATTATAATTTATATTTATTTATATTTAATAACTATATTTATGGTACTAATGCCTTAAGATTGTTGCCTTTATATTTTTCAGATCTTGAATTGCTTTAGGGTTATATCCTAAAGCACCATGGTCTGTCAGCTGCTGTTCTCCTGATTTATTCTGATAAAACAATTCCTCTGGGCCTGGAAGCCAAGGACACCCCACAGCCTCAGGCCCTGAAAGAATAAACAAAAAGTGAATTGGGGGAACAAACTGAGGGTAAATGACTTCATTAGCTGCAGCTGTAATTGGAGCATTAACCCCTGAGATGGAAATGGACCAAACTTGTAATTGTCTGAGAAACTTGTGACCATCTTCCAGCTTGGGTGCAGCCTCTGGGAGGTTTCTGACTGCCCAAGGTGTGCCTGTTGAAGGCCTTCAATAAACACCCACTGTATTCTCTTATTTATTCTTATTTATTGTCCAGCCTGTGTTCTAGGGAGCCGCCCCAAGGCATCAGCACAACAATTCACCAAGGTGGAATGTGCCAAAATGCACACACAGGGTAGATCACATATATAAATTTACAGACCTTGCAAATTAGCATACAACAAAGATGACTCAATGAGAGGCTTAAATGAATGTTGTGACATCTCTAAAGTATTCCCCCCCCAGATGGGCCTAATTTTAGTTTACAGGATATGTTTTAGAGAGGGCTTTGGTATCTCAAGACACTGTAAGGTTTTAAGATGTTTGGTCTTCTGGCCTAGCAAAATAGCAGGACTATGTTAAGATATTAAAAAATTACAAATATGCATGTTAAGGGTATTGAGAATACATTACAAGTATATAAAAAATAATAATAAAAAAAAACACCCTGGCACCACCACACTGGATCTCTCAGAGTTACAAACCAGTGTCACCCCAGAGACCTGGCAGTGCTGGAAGGGCCAGTCTGCCTCCCTTGGCTATTCCTGTATTGTGATTTCCCTGTTAAAAAGGACCTGCTGACCAGGTGCTACCAACTCCAAACCCCTGAAAAATCCTTCCCTGAAAGTGACTGGGCACTGGAATTGTTTGCCCAGGGAGGGGTGGGGTCACTGTCCCTGCAGGTGTTTTAAAGCAGCCTGGAGGTGGCACTCAGTGGTTTAGCTGATGAGGAGCTCTTAGGTTGGACTGGATGATCTTAAACATCTTTTTCAGCCTAGTTCATCCTGTGACTCTGATTCCGAATCAACTCTCAAATGGAAGGCAAAACCCCCACAAATCCTGAATTTCACCCACCTAATCCTCAAGTCCAGGAACTACTCATTGTCCCCTCATACTGGGCAGGAGTGACTGCCAAAATTAAGTCATCATCTCCATGAAAAGATCAATTTTCACGGGTCTGAGTGAGAAGAGTCAGAATACAGTGTCTTAAACACAGAGCAGGGGTTCACTATCCCCACTGATGCCATCTCTGATGAGCTGCTTGAACAGCCCTATGTATCTGACAGGCATCACTCATTTTAAGACAATAAAAGGCAATTTTTATCAACTTTTAGTTGTTTTTGCCGTCATTCACACGAACAAATACAGGACCACCATGATGTAACATGTTCAGGACAAGAAGTTTATTTCATTATTCTGACCAAAAACAAAAGCTAAAATGTAACATTCCTTTCCCTACTGGAAGAGGAAATAGAGAACCTAGCCTAGGCATTTCTGCAGGCATTTCTTCAGCCAGAGGATGCTGTGAACACTCTGAGCCCCAAAAATGGGGAGATAGAAAGTCACTGCTCCAGATTTTCCACAAAGAAAAGCTTCTCAAAAAGACAAAGCCCGTTTAGACACATGTATTCAACTCATTTAAGAAATGCATTTGAGTTGGATATTTTGTGGTCTTCTCTACTATCTTGACAGCATGCCCAAAGCTCTTGAAAATAGGGGCCTTTATGCATGTAGGTAGATATTTTCTAATGTGTATTTTATCAAATTGGCATTTAAGAATGACACAAGCTCTGCACACTCCACCACAGACAGTAAGCAATGAGTGACTTCAGTCTTTGGAGGGGTTTAACAATATCCTTTCCTTAATAGCCAGCACACAGAAGCACGCAGCAGGTGTGTGAGGATGCTGCAGCTGCTCCTGTTCCTCTGGGACACTCAGGGGCTGTGCCCATGAGCAGGGTGTGCTCGCTGTTCCCATCCCCAGAGCAGCTGGATGGACACTGCCATTACAGCCAAGAATTATAGGATCCAAACTGGAACAGGCACATGGTCCTCCAAGATCAAGAGAAGGAGAGGGGATTTGTTAAAGATGCTGTTATGACATCATGTGTGGGTGCCTTTCATTGGGAATAAACGGTGATGATTAATCAATAGAGCTGTTGCTAATGAGCACCGCCCTCGGCGGCTCAGTTCCAGTGGTGTTGGTCTGCCTGTGAGAGGCTGAAGGTCTGTCTCTGTGACACAGCCTGTGAAATTAGCAGCTAACCTTTAGGAGTGCAGGAAAACACTACAAGAGCTGCTTCCACTGTCACATTTCCTCCTAACCAGACTGACCGGGGGGAATCCCTGAGCTGGCACCAATGCCCACATTTAATCTGTGGAATTGTTCCTGGAACAGGGATGTTTATATTCAGGAGCTCTCTTGGACTGTCTGCCTCCTTTGACAAATCTAATTTCCTAGACCCACTGCCTTCAGATGCGTCCACAAGGGAGGAAGCCAAGCCCAGCAGCACCCTTGTGGCACTCACCTCGTCCACCTGGGCTTGTGTCTGCTGCAGCCTCTTGTTGCTGGACACGTTGGTGGCAGGAGGGGGCCCTGCAGCCCCTGCAGCATTGCTGGGACCCTGGGCAGAAGCTGGAACAGACCTGGAACAAAACGAGAGAACCTAAGTGACCAAAACCATTTTTACTTGTTCACTTCTTTTCTGAAGCTCGTTAAAAGTACCTATCTCTTCAAAGAACTTTTGAAGTTTCAAAGTAGCTTCTTCTTCTTCTTCTTCTTTTTCTGCTTCTTCAAAGAGCTTTTCCATTGTTTCAATCCATGATTTCCATTCCTGGATCACAACCCTACTGTTCCATTCCTTCTCATACCACCATCAGTTTTTACACTATTTCTTGATGCAACTTTATCAAACTCTTCCACCTGCCTTGCTGCTTTTTTAAACAGTTCAGATTATCTGCCCTAAATTAGGCCAATGGCCAAACTGACCACTGAGTAGCAGGGCAGAGCTTGTGTCCCATAAGGACACCCCCTCTGCTCTGTGTTTTAGTGCAGCACGAGATGGGCTGTGACCCTGAGTTCAGCACTGCCCTGCTCCTCGTGTTCAGACTTCACCAAGCAAAGATAAACGGAAGCAAACAACCAGAAACAGAAGGAGATCAAATCCATCACAACCAGAAGGAGAGGAGGAAGAACCAGGGGGTGAGAACTGCACACAGTGTGGGCTCAGTCATCTCTGGCATCCAGCAGTGCTGACCCTCCCCAGTGCTGGTCACCAAATGCCCCACCAGGGCAGCTCCAGCATGTCCACAGCTCCTGGATGTTTGCAGCTCTGCTGTGAACAGAGCCCTGACCCTCTGCACAGCAGCTCTTTGCTTCAACACTGCCTTTCTCCAGGTTGCTCTATAACAAAGGACAAAACAAAGCGTCCTGAAAATCTAGCAACAGATCTGGTCTGTCTCAGGGTACGAGTTTGTGCAGACAAATCACCCCAGCAGCCTGAACCTGAACCTCAGCCAGCCATCCTTCACAGCCACACTCTATCCTGTGAAACCCCAGCTCTTCTTTCTAGGGACCCCTCTCACTCCTTCCCACAGGGAAATCAAACCCTTCCTGGAGCTGCAGAGGAAATCCCTGAGCATGTGAACTGAAAAATATCACAGATCCCACTCATGCATTACCAGTGCCTTCCCACAGTGACAGACTGAGAGAACACAGTGTTTCTCTGTGAATCATTCCCTTCTACATCCTGGGCTCTGATTAATGCTGCTGGAATTACGGCCTCATTAACACACTGTCAAAACGCCTGGGGGCACTACAGCTAGCTCCCCAAGGTACCTTAAGCTGCAAAATTCAGTTTGCCAGCATTGCCTGAGGGCTGAGATCCCTGGGGGCAGCCCTGACCCTCAGAAGCTCCCAGAGACCACTGCTGTAGCTTACACTGCAATTCTTATCTGGGGTGAGAACATCACTGGTGAGCTCAATGCTCATCCTTCGAGGACCTCACTACTGAAAACATAAAAACCAGATGCTGCTGCCACCTGCAAGGGAATCACTCCATTGATAGCCCTGGGCCAGCAGCCCAACAGGGTTTGAGCTGTCACAAAGGATCCAAAGCTGACTGTAATGTACATCACACACCACACAAAACAAGATCTCCCTGGAGCATCAACAGCCTCAAAGGGAGGTCCAGGTACAACAACAGAGCTAAAATTGGAATCTTAAAACTTCTCTGCAGTTAAGGAAGTAAACTGGCATTTCCCCAATCAACACAAGCAGAATTTTTTCTGTGGAAACACTGTGTCACTACTACAAACACCAAGAGAGCTCCTCTCTTGAGTTCTCCACTGTTGGAATCCCAGAGACTACCCAAGAGGAGTATGTGAGAAGAGTTTTTCCCCGCCACATGTTCTGCTGTAAGCAGAGCTTATAAATTCAGTGACATTCTTGGTCAGAGGTACGAGATAACTCCAAAGCCTGGAGCTCTGCCACACACCTTTTCTGCCAAGTAATTCTCTTTTTTTTTTGTGCCTCCCAGGCTGTCCTTAAAATTACTTGATGTACAGTAGACACTTTCAAGGTTGTTCTCTTGCAGCATTCTTACTGCCATCTAATTTGGTTTCAACTGCATTTTCTGGGGCTTCTCTGCTCCCTGCACAAGGGAGGAAATGATGGGAAGAACGGGTGTTTTTCCAGCTGCCCTGACCATCCAGCAGGAGTTACTGCAGCCACCAAAGAGAGATGACAATCTTTATGCTAAGGCATAGCAATTAACATAGCCAGCTTAATTAATCACCTAAAATCTAATCCCAAGTTTTTTGGTAAAGAGGGGAACTGAAGGCCTGCATCACTTGAAAGCACAGACATTCTCTGTGATCTCATAGAGCAAAAATTCTAGAATTAAAGTCCAGCCTACATTTACATAATTCTTCCTGCATTTACATAATTCTTCTATTATTGCCTCTGTACCGTGTCATATCAGCTTATAATTTCTCAGAAGTGTTATTCAAAGAAATTCATGCAAAAATATTAGAACTATGTTGTAGAAGCTTCCTTTTGAAATACATGAAGCATCACAGTGTTAATGTATGATTTCTCATGGTCCGGCATGATTTTGGGGACTCACAAAAGAAGGCAAAATCCATATAAAAGCCCCATCACTAGGCCTCTAGCCATCAGACTTGTGTAGTTTTTTTAGGAAAAGGAAAAAAAAATAAGATTACCATTGGTGCTGAGAACTGCCATTCCCAAGAACAAGTCAAATTAATTTTGAGGGAGGAACAAAATCCTGTTATTGTTGGTGAAAAGGGGAATGAATCCCTAGCAAATACTCTTAAATGGCAGCCACTGTGTGACATCAGAGCACAAGGCAGATTTGGATCAGCCAGCACATGAGCAACCCAGCAGAGCAGTGCAGGCTCTGTGTTTGCAGCCACCTCGGAAAAAACACTCAGGGACTTTCTGAGTGATTCAGCAAAATGGTCTCAGCTGACTCAGACATCCTCAGCTCTTCCACTTGGGCCTGAAACTGGCAGGTCAAATTCATGACTAAGAGATTTGTCATCTCTCCGAGATGTTTTGGAAGCAACTTGCTATTTAGATCTGACAATTAAAGGCAGCTGCAACTCCTAATTAAAAGAGAATTGGAGATAGCCAGTGTTACTGTTTTGCATTTCAGCACTGGCTGAAAAAGCATTAAGGATTGTGTGTCTCGTATTTTGGGAAACCATCTGACACACGCTATCATTTTTGTTCGTAGTGTGAGCTGCACAGCAGAATCTTTTCACTTGGGCCAGGGGAGGGAGATGCACGGTGCAGATACCAGGAGGATGCCAGGCCACCACTGTGCCCTGGTTTAGTTTATATGAGGACCTCCAAGGCTGCTTTCAGCATCTTCTTTTATCCATCCAAAGTGCTTTTTAAAGCCTCCAACTGCAGGACCTAATCCCTTCAGAGTCTTTATCCTAGCAACACTGCAGTAAGCTGAGGAAAAGCTGTTATCCCTGCATATGGCTGGAAACAGGTACAGGGGGATGAAGGGGCTTCTCCACACACAGAAAGGCCGTGGCAGAGCAGCCCAGCCCTCTTCATTGTCCTCCTCCTGCTCCTCTCCAGCTCTGACTCAAGTCTAAGACCTATTTCTAACAGCAGGAGTTATTTTCTCTCCCTCAGCCTTAAACCAGTGAGAAACACAGCTACAGCTGAAGGCACATGGAAAGTGAGAATCACATCAGCTTTAGGGGGTGTCAGCAGCTCAGGGGAGGGGCACTGAACGTGAATCAGTGCAGCAGATCTCGTTAATGACCCCTACCAAGAGTGAAACTAAGCAGGCAATTTTTTAAGAACCCCAGTCTGATTCCTCTTTCCTCAAACCCTTTCCCTGTTGTTCAAATAAAACAAAATCGCACTGCCTCTCTTCCATTTCATTTATTTATTTTTACTGCTCAGAGATCATATTTGTGCAGTACACATTCACTATTGTAGCTTATGTATATTTATGACACTTTTTTCCATGTGGACCCCTTCAAAAAGCACCCACCCATTTGTGCTTCCCTGTGGAAGTACAGTCTGAAGGTCTGTGGGGTTTTATTTTATTTATTTCTAGACTAGCTAAAAAAGCTTTCTAACCAATCACTGTGGCCATGGCAGGTTTGACACAACCCTAACAAAATCCAGTCTGACAAAGAGAGAAGACTAAAAACTTCTGTGGTCGTCTATTCACTTGTCACCACTCAAATAAATTGATATTTAAACTCTTTCAGATTCTGAGCCTTCCAGACTCGAGTCCTTAACTGTACAAACTCAGCAACAGCATGAGCCTACCACAGTTGTGGCTGGACAGTCGTGTTTCTCTTTGTGTACAGGAAAGAGACATTAATTATCCATCCCAGCACCTCCTACCATATTTTTTGGTCTTCCCATAGTGAAATGGGGTAGTGTCATATGGCAGGTCCTGTTACTCTTTGAAAACCACACACAGATTCTGTCAGCAGAGGTGCAGAGAAACTTCTAGCACCCCTGTGAAATGTTCTTCTCACAAGTAGGTAATGATGTTCTCTGCCTGCAGGGTGAGAGGATGCTCCAAAAGACAGCCCTGGTTAGAGACCATGACCTCCCACTTCTGAGATGCTCTCAGTGGGGTAATTTGCTTTTCAGTTCAGCTGCCCACTAATTGTAGTATGTATTTCAGGCTTCCAGCTCATCTCTCCCCCTGCAGTTATTAGCCAGCCTGTTTTAGCAGGCAAGGTTTATCCTTGTTTTCCTTCCACTGATCTCGCTTCCACAGGGGAACCAAAAAAGAGGAGTACAGAAAGCCATGATATCATGGACCTGGCTGGGCTGAGGAGATAATCAGCTGATTGACAGAGGAGTATCACTGCTGGGCTAGTGGACATTTGCACACTGCAGCTGGAGGGATTTTCAGGCTACAGAAAGATGTTTTCAGCCCTCTGAGACGTCACAGAGGGAGTAGAATTAGCTCCCAACAAAAGCAAACAGACTCCCTTCACTTACAAGGGAAGCATCACTGCTTGAACAGAGATGTTCCTCTTCATTGTGCTTTTTTTCTGTCTGAGCCCTTGTGTTCAGTAAAAATGTGACTATTGACAAGTAAATGGCTACAGACTTAGGCTAATTCCATTCTGGG